GAGAAACAGGGTAGTGCCACTTAGCAGTCCAGCCGTGCGCTGCACATACAACTGGGTTTGCAATTCTAGTATATTCCCAGCCTGTAGCTTTACTTCAGAAGTAGAGCTCAGCAGCTTTGTGATGGAAGCCAACATGGCTGCGACTTGATGGATGTTGTAAAATGATGTGTTGTTTTCCTGTGTGATGGCATTCCCCAAACTGTCTCGTCTATTCGCGTGCATGTGTGATATGAGCATGCGCGATTTTGTAGTCGAGAGTCCTTTTGTCAGTCTCCTTGTTCGTCTCTGTCAGAGCAGTTTGCTTTTCCGTTTTGTCAAAATATATTGTGACACAAACTAGTCTTGTCCTTTGTGTCCTGCGTCCCGGGGAACGGAATGGCTTTGATAACGTAACAAAGTGGTGGCGAAACCCGGGACACAGATGATGAGTTAGTTTGTGTTTAGTCTGCTCGTCATCGTCATCGTCGTCGTCGTCAACAACAAAGTAACTTTGAAGTCAAAATAAAGCGTGGGAGCAGAGGAGATGAGGAGCTGGTACCTGTGGGAGCGTAAGACCATGGAAAGGAGGCGGAGGTGATGGACTGAGACGAAAACTGTGGACTGGAGCCTGGGACGGCAGGTACCGCTATGGAGCGTGTGGCTGTGGCTCGCCGGAGGCCAGTGGACGAGTCTGGCACCACTGACGGTGTGTCGTCCTTGTTTGAATTCTTTATTCTCACGATGGCACCATTGCCAATAAGAGGTAAGTTTATGAGAAGGTGAGATGCTGTGGGTGGGGCTGTGGGTTATGCAGTTGGAAAATGATTTACATCACTTTGAATTTTACAAGTATGGGAAAGGGTGAGCGCTGAAGGAGCAGATCGAGTCAATAAGCAGTGAGCAGATTTCTTGTTTGACAGCAGGTCGGGAGGAGACGTCAAGAATGCTAGCAGGGAGGGCATTGTAGTATTCTAGGGACTTGTACAATGGGGAGTCTTTACAGCGATCGGTTGTTGTCTTGCTCGCTGTGTTGTTCTCTCTCTCTCTGCTCAGTTCGTTGCTTGTTCAGTTGTTGCTGTATTGGTTGAGTTTGGTTGTTGTCGTTCTGTTGTTCTCCATTGTTTTGTGTGTTAGATTTATTTTACGCTGCTGCGCGCATTGTTGGGGCTTCTGCTCTCCTGTTTTGGTTGGCCCTGTGTCGTGGCCCGTTTTTCTTTAGAGTGTTGCTCTGGGTTCTGTTGGCTTGTTGTTAGCTTGTTGTGCTACAATGTAAGCTGGTTGTGGTTTTTCTGTTTTGCTTTGGTTCCTTTTGCTGTTGTGCATGTGGAACGTGGTGTCGGTTTATTTTTTTGTGGAATGTCATCAAGGGGGCAGGTGTTGTGAAATGATGTGTTGTTTTCCTGTATGATGGCATTCCCCAAACTGTCTCATCTAGTCGCGTGCATGTGTGATATGAGCATGCACGATTTTGTAGTCGAGAGTCCTTTTGTCAGTCTTCTTGTTCGTCTCTGTCAGAGCGGTTTGCTTTTCCGTCTTGTCAAAATATAATATAACACAAACTAGTCTTGTCCTATGTGTCCTGCGACCCGGGGAACGGAATGGCTGTGATTCCGTAACATGGACATTGCTCTTGACATTGGATGTCTTCAGTGCCCAGTTGACACCTGCATCAATGTTCGCAGTGTACGTTTCTTGGGGATTTTGAAAACGGGTATCCACACGAGCAATCTCCGTTTGAAATGTCACCTGCTCCAGCACATCGCTCGGAAACAGTTTATGCGGATCAACGCCTATGGAGGCAATGAAATGGTTGGCTGCGTTGCTGGAACGACCGGCACGAACAACAGGCACTTGTGCACTGCTAACACTGGAGCTACGATCGTCCAAGACAACCAAATAAGGCGACCTATCACTTTCAGTACGACAGCACAGAGTATCAAATAAGCCGCCTGCTGCACGAACTTGCTGCGGACCTTGAGGTGAAGAAGTCAGCCCACGTCTGCTTATTTGACCTCTCCAAGGCCTTCGACCGCGTGTGACACTGTGACCTCTTGCACAAGCTTGAACACCATGGCGTAAGGGGTGCAGCACTCCGCTGGTTTGAGAGCTACCCCCTGGGCCGGAGGCATCGGGTCCGAATCGGAAGCACAGTCTCCGACTGGCTTGACATCCCTGCAGGAGTCCCTCAGGGATCGGTACTCGGCCCGCTGCTATTCCTCGTTTACACGATGGACCTACCAGCAGCTTGCAACTCCCAAGCCACACGAAGCAGCCTCTTCGCCGACGACACCGCCTTAATCGCTAGCGGCCACTCAGCAGCGGCAGCAGAGCGAGCGCTCTAGTCCAGTGTGACTAAAGCCGCTACATGGCTCGACAACTGGCACCTGACCGTCAACGAAACAAAGACGGTCGTGATGACACTGTGCGGTGCCTTCCCCCTGACAATAACGCTGAGAGGCAAAACACTGAACAGAGTCCAGAGCCAGCGACACCTGGGTATCATAATTCAGGCCGACCTGAAGTGGAATGCCCACATCCAGCACATCTAGAGCAAAGTTGCGCGCACTCTCCACCTCTTGAGACGGATTCGTGGACGTCTCTCACCCACCGCCCTGTCAGCACTGTACACCACGTATTTACGCCCCGTTATTGAATATGGTTCTCTGGCTATGTCAGCTATGAATATTCAGCAACAAGATGCCCTCGAACGTCTCCAACAGCGGTCAGCAAAATTCTGCCTCCGACTCCCCCTCTTCAGTCCTTGCCACCACAGTTCATTACTCCACCACCTCATTTGGCCAACCCTCTCATTTCGCCGGAAGCTCAAGCAGCTGCTCTTTGCACACACCATCGCTGTCAAACGATCCCCGCCACACATCCAGCTTGCGGCCTTAGGCTACATCAGCGAGCCACCAAGCCGAGGATTGAGGCGTCATTAAGTCTTTGCCCTCCCCACCACCCACTCCACCCGCCTTCAACGTTCACCCTTGTACTCCGCATGCACTCAGTACAACCACCTGCCACCACACTGTTACTCCCTCCGAGAAATAAATGCATTCAAAAGAGAAGTTACCCCGATCATAGTATCATCACTTTGCACATGCTCCAACCCCCGCTGCAGCCCAGCCTAGGTATAGTATTAATTTTAATCAAGCTCTATCGCCTACCTGCCTTCGCAATGGATATACTTCCTTCTTCATCTTTACTTAAATGAAGCACCCAACCCACGGCTGCCACTAGCCACCGTTTCTCCCGGTTTATTGCACCCACTCTGATTGATAACACATAGTACTGTCTCTCTCTTATTGGCTACAGCCATCGTGAGAATAAAGATAATAGTTAATAGTACTTTGTTGGGAGTTTAGTCACGACTTAGCACTGCTTTTCGTCTCAAGGCACTCCTCCCATGTTTTCACTTCAGCGAAAAACTTCGCTGGAGCTGATTCGTCGCTCTTCAATTTGGTCCACTCTCTCTCTCTCTGGTCCTGGCGAATGACATCCGCACTGGAGATTCCGTTGGGCTCGTGGAGCCTGACATAAGCGTCAACGAACTTCTGGTATTGGGACGAGTTCTGGTCATTTCCATACACCGATGTGCCCACAGCAACTGCACCGACCATTGTCAACTGTGTCAGCTTTCGCTTCTTCCGTGGCGAAGAGGAGCCCATTGCTATCACACAATGGTCAATTAAGTCAGTGTATCAACAAACTGTTTGGGCTATCTTTGCTTTGTCCAGCCCAAGTGACAAAGCTCTCTCTCTTTCTTTCTTTCTCACTCTCTCCCTCTTTCTATATCTCTCTCTCCCTCTCCCTCTCTCTCTCTTTCTCTCTCTCTTTCTATCTCTCTCTCTCTCCCTCTCCCTCTCTCTCTTCCTCTCTCTCTCTCTCTCTCTCTCTCTCTCTCTCTCTCTCTCTCTCTCCCTCTCTCTCCCTCTCTCTTTCTCTCCAACCAAGATGAACACTCGCTGCTTATCCTGCATGGATGCGAATATCAGATATCAAAAGATCGTGGGGTGACCTACTCGTCCCGCCTGGTCAAGTGCGAGTACACGCAGTGCGCTTTCTGTGCAATACATCCTACACACATTCTGTAGTGCGGAAATTCTGATCGGCACCATGCAAACAAGGATCTTGGTGCAGCTCTGATCATGAGTAGACCGTGTGAACGTGGTGATGGGCACAGACGGGCTGAACGCTGACCGTGTGCTGTAATACTACTACAAGTCACAAAGTTCAAGTGTCTTCCTGCAGTATGGTACACCAGCTGCGACAAGCAAGTACAAGGTGCAGACCTAAAAATAGCGTGTGTGAAGATCGATTTTTGTTTTGCTTAAAACGACGAACACCACAACCCACATCATAAATTTATCTCTTATTGGCGATGGTGCCATCGTGAGAATAAAGAGTTCCACCCCCCCCCCCCCCGATACAAACGAATATCGTCCCTAAAAAATGTCGCTATTTGCGGACAACCCCTATTCAAACCTAGTAATCAAACCTTTTCGTTCCCTTGTCATCAAGGACCGGACAGGGAATGGATCAAGTTGGGAAGACTAAAACTTATAATAATTATAGCGTAAAGATAATGGATTATCCCATTACGCCCGGTACTCAGCATGCCCCGATCACCACAGCATGTCCGGATCACCAAAGCATTTCCGGATCACCACAGCATGTCCGGATCACCACAGCATGTCCGGATCACCACAGCATGTCCGGATCACCACAGCATGTCCGGATCACCACAGCCTGTCCGGATCACCACAGCATGTCCGGATCACCACAGCATGTCCGGATCACCACAGCATGTCCGGATCACCACAGCATGTCCGGATCACCACAGCCTGTCCGGATCACCACAGCATGTCCGGATAACCACCGCATGTCCGGATCACCACAGCACAAAACATCGAATATGTTTCTTGTATCTATTGGCGGACACATTAGACAGACTGAAATCAATATCAAAGTCGACCAAGTTCCTTTTCTTCCTTTTCTTCTTCCTCTGTTTTGTTTTGCAGAGATTTACGGGGGAAAGGTGTGACTGACATCATGAGTATTGCCTTTTCCATGTCACCAACAACAACAGCAATGTAAGTGATGTCAAGAATTTGTGTTTGCTTCACCGAGGCCGGAAAAGCCAGACCTGGCCAGGTTTCCCTTCACTCTCATTCCATTATGACTTTGTCTATGGTCCACGTACACCTGTTGGGGTCCGTTTGAGCTCCAGTGTTGTACATGTGGCTGCGCGTGTAGCTCTTCGTTTTACACGCGGTTGCGCGTGTATCTTTTTGTTGTACATCCTGCTGTGTTTGTGTGTCTTTGTTGTACATGCTGCTGAACCGCAGTACACACTGCTGGGCTGTCGTTGAATGCTTTGTACATGCTGCTGCATCGTCTTCTGTCCCCTCCGTATACACACTGTCTTGTCTTTTCCCCGTTGTGTAACAGTTCCAACTTACAAATGTAGTTGCAAGATAGTTCCAAGGGACGGGTTGTATTAAGCTTCGGCACCAATTTCGCGCCCACCGCCGCACTTTTCCTTCCGTCTTCACAATACATTTCCTGGCCTTGTCTTGTCTCGCGCCAGTCGTCTTGTAGTCTCATGAAAGCAAGATCAGATTATTCTCTCCAGCATTCACTTTGGCCTTTTAGGTGTATGGCGCAGTCACGCAAGAGGAGTGTAGCTCGTCCTTTTTAAGCTGACGACATTTGCGCCCAACATTTATCTGATCATCACCGACAACCCTGAGTTCGTGTTCGTCTCACAGTGTGGTTTGTCCCCTCTTCGCGTCCTCGCTACGGCCCAGCTCCTTGTGTCTCACGAATGGCCAAGCCTTTCATGGGATCTCCTGCTTACGTGAGTATGCCTTTGTAATTGTCTGCTCTGCGTAATGTGTTGCCGTAACTTGTATTCGATTTCAAACATTTTGAAATCATTCTTTCGCGTCGGGCCTCGGCGTATAGTAAGTCCGTCGAAACTTGTTCTGTTGTGCTCGAGTCTGTTGTGCTCGAGTCTGTTGTGCTCGAGTCTGTTGTGTAGTCTTGCTACTGGTTAAATAAGTTAGCCCAGTTGTTTTTTGTTTCTTTGTGTGTGTGTGTGTGTGTGTGTGTGTGTGTGTGTGTGTGTGTGTGTGTGTGTGTGTGTGTGTGCGTGTGTGTGTGTGTGTGTACTAGCTGTGTAGCTCTGAATACAGTGCACTGTAATGTTGTGAGTACAGAATTCTCAAACTTCTTTTCGTGCCACGCGTTCGCATCTGCATCTTGTTTTCGCGTCCTCGTCATGACTTCTGCATGGATAACTTTGCTCTCCTCCTTTGTTGTGCACTGGTGCTGGTCAAGGAGTTGCTGTCAGACTTCTCCGATATCGAAACTGTGTTTAAATGTCCCCATCATCGTTCTCAATGTGGTGCCTCGTACGTTACGTATTTTCTTGTTTCGAATTTCTACCATTTTAGTTTTTCCATGTTCTGTGTAGAGCGTTGTCAGGCTCCGCCATGCACTGTCAAAAAAATAGGAAAGCCGGTAGCTGCTGGTTTGGTGGGAGGTGTGAAATGCATCTAGGATTTTCGTTAAAGATCTAGGTTGAATTTTTTTGTGAGCATATTCTGTATTAATATTGGGTTTCGGCATGTGTGTCTCTCCATTTCACCTGGGTGGGCGCCCGATCATGTTCGACCATGATGTGCCTGGTGGCCTGGAGGGATCCTGCGCTTCTTTGTATCCAGGTGCGTCGGACACGGTACGGTCACTACGGTATTGACCGTACCACGTTTTGCCCCAAGTACCCCGTGAATCAATAAAATACACTGATTCTGATCTAAAATTCTAAAAATTTCGGCTCAGCCACCACTCCCCCACGAGTAAATTCTACTTCAGATGGCTGACCGTACCACACTAAAATACCATCCGGCGTCCCTGGTATCGGGTTGCCTTGAGGGTGTCGCTGTTCCCGTGTGTTGCTAGTTGGCACTTGTGGGTCCCAGTTGATGCCTGACTGTTTTTGGTTTTTTGGTTTTTTGGTTTTGTTTTTGCGAGCGGATGTACTATAAGTTTCCCCGTGTTATTCAGGTTTGATCCCTGTGGTTGTTCAGGGTGGAGACCTGTCGTTGTTCCGGGTATAGCCCTGTGGTTATTCAAGGTAGAGCACTGTGGTTGTCAGGGTGGAGCCCTGTGGTTATCAGGGTGGAGCCCTGTGGTTGTCAGGGTGGAGCCCTGTGGTTGTCAGGGTGGAGCCCTGTGGTTGTCAGGATGGAGCACTGGGGTTGTCAGGGTGGAGCCCTGTGGTTGTCAGGGTGGAGCCCTGTGGTTGTCAGGGTGGAGCCCTGCGGTTGTCAGGGTGGAGCACTGGGGTTGTCAGAGTGGAGCGCTGTGGTTGTCAGGGTGGAGCCCTGTGGTTGTCAGGGTGGAGCCATGTGGTTGTGATGGTGGACCCTGTGGTTGTCAGAGTGGAGCCTTGTGGTTGTCAGGGTGGAGCCCTGTGGATGTCAGGGTGGAGCCCTGTGGTTGTCAGGGTGGAGCCCTGTGGTTGTCAGGGTGGATCCCTGGGGTTGTCAGGGTGGAGCCCTGTGGTTGTCAGGGTGGAGCCCTGTGGTTGTCAGGGTGGAGCCCTGTGGTTGTCAGGGTGGAGGCCTGCGGTTGTCAGGGTGGAGCACTGGGGTTGTCAGGGTGGAGCCCTGTGGTTGTCAGATGGGGAGCCCTGTGGTTGTCAGGGTGGAGCCCTGCGGTTGTCAGGGTGGAGCACTGGGGTTGTCAGAGTGGAGCGCTGTGGTTGTCAGGGTGGAGCGCTGTGGTTGTCAGGGTGGAGCCCTGTGGTTGTGATGGTGGAGCCCTGTGGTCGTCAGAGTGGAGCCTTGTGGTTGTCAGGGTGGAGCCCTGTGGTTGTCAGGGTGGAGCCCTGTGGTTGTCAGGGTGGAGCCCTGTGGTTGTCAGGGTGGAGCCCTGTGGTTGTCAGGGTGGATCCCTGTGGTTGTCAGGGTGGAGCCCTGTGGTTGTCAGGGTGGAGCCCTGTGGTTGTCAGGGTGGAGCCCTGTGGTTGTCAGGGTGGAGCCCTGGGGTTGTCAGGGTGGAGCACTGGGGTTGTCAGAGCGGAGCGCTGTGGTTGTCAGGGTGGAGCGCTGTGGTTGTCAGGGTGGAGCCCTGTGGTTGTGATGGTGGAGCCCTGTGGTCGTCAGGGTGGAGCCCTGTGGTTGTCAGGGTGGAGCCCTGTGGTTGTCAGGGTGGAGCCCTGGGGTTGTCAGGGTGGAGCACTTGGGTTGTCAGAGCGGAGCGCTGTGGTTGTCAGGGTGGAGCGCTGTGGTTGTCAGGGTGGAGCCCTGTGGTTGTGATGGTGGAGCCCTGTGGTCGTCAGAGTGGAGCCCTGTGGTTGTCAGGGTGGAGCCCTGTGGTTGTCAGGGTGGAGCACTGGGGTTGTCAGAGCGGAGCGCTGTGGTTGTCAGGGTGGAGCCCTGTGGTTGTGATGGTGGAGCCCTGTGGTCGTCAGAGTGGAGCCTTGTGGTTGTCAGTGTGGAGCCCTGTAGGTGTCAGGGTGGAGCCCTGTGGTTGTCAGGGTGGAGCACTGGGGTTGTCAGAGCGGAGCGCTGTGGTTGTCAGGGTGGAGCGCTGTGGTTGTCAGGGTGGAGCCCTGTGGTTGTGATGGTGGAGCCCTGTGGTTGTCAGGGTGGAGCCCTGGAGTTGTCAGAGTGGAGCCCTGTTAGGGAGGACCCGACTATGCTTGTGCATATTTTCGCATATTTTGTCCTTTTGACACAAGGTCGCATAAAGTAGCAAATCTAGCATATTGTACCAATGTAGCATATTTTGTTACAAGGAGCAAAGAATTCGCATAATTATAGGGCAGATTGCGGAAATGGACAAGGAAACTTACCACGGCACGCTTGGTCAGGGAACACTTCCAAACTTAGCCCGGAAGGAAAAATGCTCATCAAAACACGGGGCGAAAATTTGAGCCGAGAAGAGAGTTTCCGCGACTCAAGGTTGCATGAAGTAGCACATCTAGCATATTGTATGTAAATGTAGCATATTTTGCTACAAGAAGCAAAGAATTTGCATAATTATCACTGATATCAGTTCATATTTTGAGCATATTTTGAGCATATTTTTCTGCTTTTGTGTGATTTCGAAGCATATGAGCCCCGCCAAGCTAAAAAATGGCTTCGTGTTTTGCCGACAAATCGAGAAAATCACCAAAACGTCACAGTTGGCAAAATTCTACTCGAGCGCGGTCGCGAATATATTCACTTTCTAGTTTGCAAGCGGATGATCGAATGAAGAGAGAAGCCTTTTTATGTTTGAGCAACACTTCTTCAGTGTTCCCTCTTTCATCGTTGTGGGGATTCCTCAGCGCTGCCGGAGATCGTAATGGAGCTTCTAGAGAATGTGAAGTTGAGCAGGATGACATTGTATCCGCGTGCGCCCAAACCTACTTGACGAGGAAGAGTCGCTCATTCATAGTGGCTGTGTTTCTTATCGTGGCCACGACTAGAGCGGCGAGTATAGCTATGGGGAGACGTCTAAAAAGCCTTCCGACTATAATTCTGACAAGCGGCCTGGTGAGTTGGCTCTTGCTGCGATGTTTCACTTTGTTTCGGCTACCTTCAATTTAGTGTTCTTGACGTGTCGTACTGGATTCCAAAATTTCCTCGTTTCAATAACCGCCGAGGAGACAACAGTCGTAAAATAGCAATGAAAAATATCAATTGTGCACTCATAACCATGTATAAACAATTAAAATGAAACAATTCCAGAACGTTTTCACACGAAAACGTTCTGGAATTGTTTCATTTTAATTGTTTAGACATGGTTATGAGTGCACAATTGATATTTTTCATTTAAATGTAGATCTGTTATTTTTTCTTTCTTGGATCTTCTAATTAGAACACAAGTGCTCATTATTCTTGTATTGCTGCACACCTGCTAAGCTTTGTCTCCACTTGGTGTCCTATGTTTTCTTGAAGTTTGGGAAGGTCTTGGAATCCTTAGTGTCATTGATACCAAGTTACCAACCATTCTGTGACATGTGCACAATGTATGCTTATTTATGGCACATATACATTTCAGATGGGCACCAAAATTTCCATGATGGAAGTTGGAT